TCTTTCCGTAAAAAATTATTTCTTTTGTTAAATTTATTTCAATATAAACTTGGTTAATATTTTTTCCGTCATAACTTTGAATATTTTTTTTTTTTGGCAAGCTTGCCAACGTCCTATTGTGGTGCCGATGATGATGATGATGATGATGATGAAGATGATGATGATGATGATGATGATGATGATGATGATGATAATGATAATAATACGATACGATACGAGGCCTTGGTCTTCATAAAACCGGGGCTGAGTATAGTTTGAGGGCTATCCTAATTCAGGTATGACAGTACTTTAAAAAAAAGTCGAGGCTGAAGATACACCTCTTTTCTTTCTGCCTCCTGTCAGTAGTCACTATTTGGGTTTGTTTTTTTTGTTGTTTTTTTTTTTTGTTTTTTTGTTTTTGCTGTCGTAAAGCGCATAAAGATGTTTGATATGCGCTATATATAACTAAATAATAATAATAATAATAATAATAATAATAATAATAATAATAATAATACAGTAATAATAATAATAATAATAATAATAATGATGATGACAATAATAATAATAATAATAATAATATTAATAATAATAATAATAATATTAATAATAATAATAATAATAATAATAATAATAATAATAATAATAATAATAATAATAATAATAATAATAATAATAATAATAATAATAATAATAATAATCAATACAGTTGGATTTGTATTTGAGTGATCTACTTTAGGCCTAGAATCTCTTCCTTCAACATTAGTCCTACATCACCGAACACACATTACTGTATAACCGTCCTACAATTTCTATGAATACCAAATCATACTATAGCCTAGCACCATTGATTGTAATATAATGTGTAATTTATGCTTATATACTGTAGTCATTGATGTCTCATCAAGCGGATACAAATACTGAAGTGAATTGAATTGAATTTACCAACTGTGGGTGACGGTAACCTTGTCAATATCATTCCCATTGTTGGTGTAACAGATAAACAATGAACTTACTACCGTAATCTCTGCACAGTTTTATTTCTGAAGCATATTATAATACATATATTCTTATACGGTGGGGTCAGAGGTCCCCGACGAGGGGGAACATTTCCCCGACGACAACAAAGTGGGCGTGGTCGAACGTCGCTTAAATGCCTTGAAAGTGGTCTAGGGTGCGAAGGGGTTTCAAAGGCTTATTTAATCGATTTTCGAGCCTACAAAATTTATGTAAAAAATATTTTTCTTTTTTCTTTTTTCCCGACGAATTGTGATTTCTCTCCCGGACGATGGGTGGGTCCCTCTTAGGGACCTCTTCCCCCCCTCAGCTGAGGCCTACGACCTCAAGTCCCGCTGTCGGACAGTTCAGCCCACCTCCTCCAGAAAATATATCCTGCCCCGGCCCACTGTTCGGCACACGAAGTATTTTCACAGCGATTAATTAGATCGATGATGGATGTGTACATTACACATAGCCTACTAAGAGATCTCAGTGGTTGCCGAAAATCGCTGATATTTTTTACTATAATGGTCATGTGATGATGAATTTTACTATATAACAGTGTCATTTCCGACCAGCCACTATTCCCTTAAATTTTTGCACCGATCCCCCTACCGCCAAATCCTGCATTAGCCCCAGAAACTAATACAGCAATACAAACAGATTTTCTTGTCTTGGTTCACTACTGCTCTATTTTTTACACAAACAGGGTCAAATACACAGTTTAAAATTTGTTCACGCAACACACTCATGTCACCTCGGTCTCTTTGTGGTGGAGGTTCGAATTTGATTAGGCCTATGTAATTTAAACCGTGATGTATAAAATATGAAACCATAATGGTAGACTTAGAGTACCGGTAGGCGATTTTTTAATTACTAAAATACACAGCAATTAGATTAAGATTTATCACTAACCCTTTAAGTCGGAACTGGAACCAACAATGTGACCGCTGCTTTATTCTAGTTTAAAATAAGAATTATCATTATCGTTCTAATCTAATCATGGATGTATGATCTAATACGTGTGGAAACGATTTGGCGCAGTGGGAATGGTTTGGTTTCCCATCGAGTAATCTCGAGGTCGGTGTTTCAATCCTTCGCTGTGCATCGCTTGTATCCTTCAGCAAGGCACTTTATTTCCTACAATGGGTACCAACAAAATGCTTGGATTAGCCTGCGGTTGACAAGGAACCAACACGCTCTAATTTGCTTTACGCTACAAAAACTGGGATTAATCTCAAGCCCTGTGCATTTAAACACAAAGCTCCACGCAATGTTGTCCCGTTTTTGGTGACTGTTTAAAAGCTAAACGTGTTTAGACATAGCTTAATGTATTCAGGATTAGGTCAGAAACATAAACACATTAGGCCAGACCTAAACACGTCTAGCTTTTAAACGTGTCACCAAAAACGGGATAACAATGCGCGTAGCTTTGTGTTTAAATACTCCACGTAGTTTTTACAGTGTAGAAATAGACGAATGGTAAGGATGTTAAATCTACCTGACCCTTTTAGTTGGTACTAGAAATAAAAATTTAACCATCACTTTAATTCAGCTTAAATTATGAATAAGGATGTATTGAACAAATATCACCTTACAACACATTATACTTATAACCTTTGAATTTTTTACTTTTTTACATGAATAAAAGGTTCCAAGCTCTCTAGAATATGGACATTGTACTCTCGCAATTAATATACTTAAGTGTGCTCGCCTACGGTGTTTGATTAGTTTTATTCTGTACAATTTTTCTTGATTAAGTCATGATACGCCTCTTGAAGAACGAGATCTACCTTTGATTGCCTTTTTAAAATATGCTCCGCATACAACTTTCGAATTTAGCTTTGAAAATCAAAGAATATTTAATTGTTGATATTTGGTTAGCCTTAGGCCCACTAAAACGTTTGATGCAGGCCTACTTTACTAAATGACAATTTTAAATTGATACAAATACTGGTAAAATGTTCAAGTGTGGGGAATAGTTAAGTTGTTTTCCCGCTCACATATATCTGGCCCTGTCAGGAGCATAATTAACACTGAAAATGTTTCAAACACCAAATAAATAACTGCACACGCATCTCTGAAGATTGGTGCCTAACACATCATTATTTGACAAATAGGACAAAAACAACTGGATTCCCCACTGACAACCATCGTGGTTAGTGGTGACACATCGGTGACACAAAATGCTTTTCTATAAATTATTTACAGCCCTTAAACGTTTATTTCTAATTTTTATACTTATATTTTTATTTCTTAAAATCTTCTCAATTAGAGGCGTCCAGCATGCATTTTGCGATATATCAAATTGAACTTTACTATTATATTAATGTACAGTATTTGAAATGATGACTCCCCTGAAAAAAGCATAATCTCTGAGTGGGACATCCTGCGTAAAAAAAATACACTTCAGTGGTGTCGCCAGCGGGGGGCTGGGGGCTATAGCCCCCCTCGCCGGGGAAGCTTAGCCCCCCCCCCCTCCAATCGTCGGGGAAGACGATATATTTTGTCTGGGAACAAACAAATAAAATAAAATATTTACATGTAATATTCGTTTAGCCACCATATTGTTTGTGTTAACTTTTCATCACAACAACAATAATAATAATAATAATAATTCAATGAGACTAATTAAAAATAATTTGCGTTCTTTTATGACAAATGCTCATTTAGATAGCCCCATGATGGTTGGAATACATCGTGATAGGTGAAGCAACCTCGACCATGACAGCGTAGTTGACAGATTTAATACAAAATTTCCAAAATATAGAATTTCACTTTCAAGAATGAGGATTTGAAAATAAATTAGATGGTTACATTGCATACTTCTTTGTTTCTTGCTTTATTGCTTTTTGGTTTTGGAAGCTTATTTTAACATTAGAAAGCATAGCCTACATGAAGTCATATTATAGTAACTCGATGCCTATCAAATAAGTAATAAAAAATCTCCATAATTCATCAAATACCACTGGCGCCACCACTGATACACTTGTCAATAGACGATCAAATTTAACAACTGACAAATCAGAACAGCGCTAGGAATACGCGCGCGTATTACAAACAAACGTGTTTTTTGTCTCCACAAACGCACGTGTTTGCGTATGTTTTAACACTGCCGTCTTGTGGGACCTTAGCAACAATATCCAAGGGGTGGAGCTTAGTGGAAAGGTCAATTGTAGTTCTCCCCACCCTCTCAGTGCATAACCCTTTGCCTGGGCTCACTGTTGTATTTTTGGCGCAATAACTAAGTCAAATTCACGGTCCCACAAATTGCACGCAACGCACCTCTGTCCTCGTTGTGTAGTGGAAGTTCGAATTTTATTATATAATTTATACGGTAACCATTTTACAAAATAGGCTATAAAAAATGAAACCATAGTGGTAGGCCTAGAGTAGCCTATCGGTATAACTGTCTTTGCTAAGTTATGTTTATTTTGTGAAATATAAATAAGGTCCTCCTTCCATCCATGAGAGGCGAATGGGCAGTATGAGTGAAAATGAATATTACATAGATCAGCATTCATTATAGGCCTATTTGAAGTCACGCATGGATAGCTGGAAATTGTCTTTTTAACATCAAAATAATTATGTTAAAAAGTAGTTAAAGTCAGACTCCGAAGGGAAAAAAAATTGATATGTTGTAGAACTGATTTTTCTAAGACAGAAAAAAGTTGTTAGACGAAAAACTGGGGGACGGTGAATGAGATACTGATTTTTTAATATTTAAAAATAGGGGAAAAGGGGGAATAAACGCCCGCCCATTTTTACACATTATTCCCCCAGTTTTTAAATATTCAAAAATCTGTATCTTATTCACCGTTGCTCAGTTTTTAATAAAACTACTTTTTTTCTGTCTTAGAAAATCAGTTCTACAACATATCAAAAAAATGTTTTTCCTCCGGAGCCTGACTTTAATTCATTATCGTAATTGTTTTATAAATTACAAGTGTCTATTAGCCGCTTAAATGCGTGACATTTTATTAGTGCCTCGCAATACTCGCACTGTTGGTACAGTCAATTACCGTCATGGCTCGCATGAATAATTGCGTGCCTCGCTGGATGACTCGTTGGCTCGCACTTTAGCAACACTCCCCGGTAATACAGGGACACAACTATGTGTACTTCCTCCGGACCCCGGTTCAGTCCCAGGTCGTGCCCCGCTATTATGGCCCGGGTCCGGGACTACAATTGAACAGTGCATAAGAGAGAAAGAATTCAATAATCCTCAAAATTAAGGCGTTGCCCATAAATTTCCGTGGGAATTTCCCCGAGATCTCGGGAATTCCCAATTTTGTCAGAAAGCCTATTCAATAGGCCTATCTATAATGAATTCACTAAAGTGATGCATTACTTTATTTACACAATGCGTTCCTATTCAGTGTATTATAAGCATTCATTTAGCTTTTAAACTCACCTGATCAAGCATATGATCAGCTACCCAATATCGTTTACATTCTTTTAAAAATATGAAGAGCTGTAAACATTCAGTTGCCACTTTGCGGAAAACAGTGAATTCGTGACTGTACGATTTGTAGGGCCTACATTCTATTTTTTAATACGTGTGACTGCTCTCTTATGATTCGTTGGAATACTAATCACGTGAGTAAAATAGGCTGGCTTTCTGCAATTGCACACACGGTGCCCTGACGTATGACTAAGTGCACCGATAACAACTTCAGGAATACTGTAATAACCACCCTTTAAAAAAAATTACATACATTACTCCCTCAAACATCAATGTTCTCGCAGTATTGATTGTTCATCCGCCAACCGTGCACCTACCACAACTTCCAATCCATCCCTCTCAGTCCCAATACAGATGTCCCTTGGGCATGCAGGATTTGGTGGTATGGGGTCAGTGGTGGCGCCAGAACCTGCCCGACGGAGGGGCTAAAGGCCCCGACGGGGGGGGGGGCGCTAGTGAAGCAAATCGAGTCTCACTTAGCCGGGGACCGCCAAGGGAGAATGCAAATTATTTTTAATTAGTCTCATTTAATTATTATTATTATTATTATTATTATTATTATTATTATTATTATTATTGTTGTTGTTGTTGTTGTTATTGTTGTTGTGATGAAAAATTAACACAAACAGTATGGTGGCTAAACGAATATTACATGTAAATATTTTTCTTTTATTTGTTTGTTCCCCGACAAAATTTATCGTCTTCCCCGACGGGGGGGGGGGCTCTTATACACATCTAGATGTGTATAAGGGATTGCTATAACCCCAGCCCCCTCTGGCGCCATCACTGTATGGGGTGTGTGAGAGTTCACACCCCACGATGGTTGTGCTGAGGTGCGAACATCATTGAGAAAATGGTCGCCAGGAAATTACAATCTCTTATTTATTTCATACAATTATTTTTCTATCACACCGTCTACACCCCATAGTTACCAACCTGAGAGATTTGAAATGTGTGAGTGACCAGTTGGCGGGGGGAGGGTCCAAGCAGCAGGGACCACGCCCCCAGCGCCGCTCCGTCGATCTGACCATTTTTAAACTGTTTTAAAACGATTTCAGGGAGTGTTTGTTGATAATACATAAGCAAAAATATTATTAATAAAGCAACGTATAATTTGAGTTTCAATGTAGGCCTTTAATATTAAATATTTAATTTGAGCACCAAAACCCACACAAACATTTTATATTTTTAAGAAAACCATTTTCTTCTAATTCTAAATACATTTTCCCCTGAATTCGAGATAAATCGTTATAATGCATAGACTTTTATGCGTAACAAATTTAGGATCACGCATGTGTTTCTGCAAAATGCGTGTTTTCAGTCAAAATCACTTTGAAATGCGGGACCGTCCCGCACACGATGACGGATGGAAACTATGACACCCCAACTCCTGCATCCGCCCCAGGGGTCCCCATATTGAGACTATATTTGAGATTGGGCTCTATACAGGCCCACTTTAGTAGTCCATAAAAAAAAATCACAAACTTTATTGGATCATCGTGCAACTCGATATTTTTTTGACTACAGGTGTGGGAAGGGGTATATTATTATTTCCATTTTCTTTGCACAGACTTTATCAATTTGCCTCCCTTTTTTTTCTTTTTGAAAACAAATCAATGGACATAGATATCCGAGCATGCAGTGACGCAAACAGATCAATTTCCTTATCAATAGGCCCACCTGTCATTTCTAAAATTATGATACGCGGAGCATATCATACTGGGAATTTCCCAGCCTATATTTGCGCATGCGTAGTCAAACCCACCATTGCTTTCTTATTAAATAACATAAGTGATACATGACATCTTACCATTATTTTCTTGGCCTCGATAAGCATAATGACGTTGATAGGGAATAAGAAATTAACAGATTCTTCCATGTCGGGCGACGGACTGTCGCCAACCAAAATGGCAAGCGGTGGATTTGCGTGGTGCCGAGAAGGCAAACCCACCCCCACTCGGCAGAGCCAGAGAATTAGTTGGCCGACCAGTGTGTACTAATGACGAAGACAGTGCGCACTAATGACGAAGACGTTTTGTGGAAGCCGCGGCTCCCCCCCCCCCTTTGTACACAGTGTTAAAATTTTAAAGCTTATTCTTGAGCCAATACAGATTCTTTCCTGGGATCACTTAAAATAAATACTTCTAAACTTGTAAATATGCATCAGTACACGTTATACATAGGCCTAATAGAACACATAGGCCTAAGCGTGATTTAAAAAAATCTTAAATCCATAAATCTCAGGCCAGGTCTTTTAAGATAGAAATGCGATACTGTGTTTCAATTTCGTTTTTATCCTTTTGCAAGTTTCTTTAAATGTTTGTTTAATAATACTACTACTAATAGTAATAATAATAAAAATAATAATAACAATGATGATGATGACGATAGTAATAATTGATATTAATATTAATAACAATAAAAAGTAAAGAAAATTGTGCTAAATGCGAAAAAAAAGTTGTGATTTGTTGATCATAATATAGTATATATAGTTAAAGCTTAGTAAGCTATAATGAGGCCTAAGTTGTCCTGGATATATTAAGTAGATCCCTGATAAAAGATCATGAGAAATTTGTTGGCGTTTCATTTTGACTATAATGGTAATGTGATGATGATGAATTTTACTATATAAAAGTGTCATTTCCGGCCATTTCGAGACTGTACTATTTCCTCAAATTTTCTCACCTCAGCCCCAGCCATGGTGGGGCTGAGGTGGTTGTGAAATCCTGTTTTTGATGTAGCCCTATGTAAAGTACATACTCAAAGACAATGTATTTAAGCTTTTTTTCTATGTTTTTTTTTTCTATGGTACGGTACCGGTATATCACACACACATTTATAAGAATAAGATCTCTATGGTTGTCAAAATCCCTGATAAAAGATAATGTTGGTTTAATAATACTACTACTAATAGTAATAATAATAATAATAATAACAATTATGATAATGACGATAGTAATAATTGATAATAATATTAATAGCAATAAAAAGTGAAGAAAATTGTGCTAAATACGAAAAAAAAATGTTGGCCCCCATGGTGGGGCTGAGGTGGGTGGTTCCTCGGTCTGTGAAAGTCCCTCCCTGGTTCGCCTCTCTTTCGAATTCCTGGATCTGCAACTGTTGATTTACTATATAATTATTTTTTCGCTTATTTATAATGCGTCTATAGCAATTTTCACTTTATCCTCTCAAATAGTCCTAAGAACGTTCAGAGTGCGCTACTTCACAGGGGGATTCGCCCCCTTGACCCCGCCAGGGGTCATACGTAATTCGCATAACGGCTCCCCCCCCCCCTTTCAAAATTCTGGCTACGTCCCTGCATGGAGATATTATTGTGAACTGGAGAATTCAGTTCTTTGGGTGGAGGGTCAATATTTGAAAAAGATACTGTAGGCCTACTGTACGTTTCTACTCGGCCCTAAAACAGTCCCGGTCAGGGTGGTAGGACAAACGCTATGGAAAATCAGCAAATCTTGATTAGATACTTATTAACTGATAGATAGGCCTACTTATTGATCAGTTAAACTGATCAATTTACACTTGTATGATAAAAAAAATTACTATGACATGGCCCAGGCCGCGGCCAGTACCGGTATGCAAGCACAAACCGTTGAGCCATAGCCCTGGTTTGAGACGAATAGGCCTGTCATTCTTTTAGAGTATTTTTGCAAAATACTAGTAGGTCGTATGGTAATACATCGGCTAGTGTAAAACATCATTTTTAAATATATCATTTCTACTGTTTAAGCAATGTTTATCTAATGTTACTTGTACGTACGTTAATATTTATTAAATCCCAAGGTGACAAAAATATAAAGCATGAATGGTTAAATGATATATTTAGTACAAGTATGAATGATTGATATAATAGAATACAGTAGTGCGTGTTTTGAGCTATAAACATAGACAATAGTAATGAAAAAGTCATGTTAATGCAATAATGATTATATTTGGCCGGACCAATAAAAACAGCTTCCGACGTCCCTGCAAATTCATTGGAAAATATAATTGAAATTAAAAGAAATTGGTGTTACTAAAAGTAAAAACGGCCTTGAATGCATTCACTGACGCGTAACTAAAATTGCATTCATATTTTGTTTAAGTACGGAATGAAATGTTTGTGTACATATGTGTTCAAATTAAACACACTGTACATTGAAACTTAACTTGTACGTGGCTTTATTAACAATACATATACATACATACACACACACACACACAAAGTACCAGGCCTACAGTAGACTATAGACTATTTTAGTGTTGAATAAATTAATCTGGTTCAAAGTTTCATTTTATTAAAATTATTACTTTTATGTTGAACCAAAAAACGTACAATAGATTACCTGTAACATTTCATTGGCAGACTGCCAACTTCTTCAGACTGAACCTTGTGCCTGTAAACTACAAAATCGTTTTAAAACAGCTTAAAAATGTTTAGATCGTCAAAGCTTAAAGGGAACTCACCCCCGCCAGTGGCGGCACCAGCAGAGGCATGGGGCGCAAATTTTCCCGTCAGGTAAAACCACAATTCGTTGGGGAGAAAATGGGTTTATGTATTTTCTACATATCAGCAGACTCAAAAATCGATTATAAATACACCATCTCTGAAACCCCTAAATTGTTATATTTTTCGGGGGCTTCGCCCTTGGTACACTTTCTATGGGCCCCAAGAGCGTCGATCCG